TTCGGGTTTGGGGTTTTGGGTTTAGGCTTGAGGGTGTAGGGTAAGCTCCTGAAGAGGACCAAGCCTTTGGCTCAAGTTGTGGTGAGGGTATGCCCCACACCCTATATGTAGTATACTTGATTGTCCCCTTAAGTAGATAGAACCTGGATTTGGGTATAGTATGATAAGATCCCCATATACCCCATATTCTATCTACTTAAGGGGGACTGTAGTGCCCAAGACTTACAATCCAACCATGTCTAGAGGCTCTATAGGGATTGCATAGGGTGGAGCTGCTAGAGAGGCCAAGGGTGTCGGGTTTGGGTTTTTGGGGTCTGGGGTTGACGGTATGGAGTTCAGGGTTTAGGGTCAAGCGTTTACAGGGTTTAGGATGTAAAGTTTAGAGATTTGGGTTGAGCCAGGGTTTGGGGTGTCCTTTTCATTGGTTTTCTGTGTCGCATGAGGGTAAATAGGGCTAACGGAGTCTAGTGCCAGAAGCTCTTAAATGGGCTTCGGGATTCGGGCTAATAAGTGAGTACGGATTAGGGTCGAGGATTAAGGGTTCAGGGTTTATGGTTCAGGCTTGCTTGTGGTGTAGGGTCGGTATCTCTGAAGAGGCACAGGGTGTTGGGGGGTGTTGGGCGGGGGGTTGAAAAAGGGATCCCTTGGAACTTGGAAGGTTGCTTTTGATTTCGCAGGGGAACCCTAAACCCTAAACATCATTAGGGTATAGGGTAAAGTTTAGTCTTCATGGTGAGTCTTAGATAGGGAGGGGGTTTAGAGGGTCGAGGCAATGGGTTTGGGGATTAAGGTCCAACGTTTAGGGTGTAAGATTCCTAAACCTTAAGCCATAAACCCCAAACCCTAAGCCCTCAACCCTCAACCCTAAACCCTCAACCCTAAACCCTCAACCCTAACCCTAAACCCTAAGGTGTTAGACGTATCTTAGGATCAGTCTCAGACTTTGGGGATCCCGCAAGCATGGCTGGTTCTTCCTCTGGGTTGCTGTTCAGGGACTTTAAGGGTTTAGGGTTTAGGGTTAAGGGTTTGCAGCTGC